TTACCACCAATAGTATCAATATTGTCTTTGCATTCTGCTTGAAATAATTTGGTAAATAAATCTTCTATGTGACTGTCTTGTGGGCTTGATTGGGGTTTTGGTAACTCTTCAGCAACTTGTGGTACTAAGCTCTTCTTAGGAAATGGTATTTTACTGGCAACACTCTCTTGTACTTTTCCTTGGAGTTTTTGTTTTGAATCTGTTTCGGTAGAGTTAGTGTCTTTCTTCTGACTGGCAGTTGTGTTGTTAGACGGCTTGGTCTTAGACTCCAATTCCACAGAAGATGACGACGAAGACTCTTTTGCCTTTCCATCTTGGTCATCACTATCTTGAGTCTTTTGCTGAGGGTTGGCGGCATTGGCTGCTGTTGTGGATTTCTTTTTATTAAGGGCAAAAGGAATGGCTTTCTTCGGTGCATTGCTTGAAGTTGCTGAAGACTTATTAGTGTTGTTGGTAGATTTATTATCACAGTTTGTATTACCAGATTTCGTTTTTTTCTTATCATCAGATTCAGAACTGTTGGATCCAGAATCTATCCAATTAGGAGGACCACACTTATTATTATTATTATTATTATTATAAAGGGCTGACTGATACCACAACTGGGTAGAATTGTCAGTTGGTTCACACTCATTATAAAATCCATGGGGAGCTTTCGATTCCCACCCAGACATGCTGTCCATATTTTGATCTTCATTCGAATACTGATAGTCAAATCCTCCTTGGTATCCAGGTCTGATGTTTGGGAAAGTCTGTGACTGCTGAGGTGGAAGATTCCTTTGCTGTCCAGAAGCACCCGTATGTTCATCAGCATCCCAATTCCCAGATTTTTGCTGGAGCCGTCTCCTTGGGTCCGAACCTGACCGGTGGACCACAACACCCTGTCCATCAACTCCAGGCATTTTCTGAGCATAATTGGATGCCAATATCCCACACTGATTAGATCCAGTTTCAAGATCATGAGGAGCATCTGGTTTGAAAGCAGTTTGTGTCATTGTTCCCAGAATATCCCTATTGGGACCTCCTGGCATTAGGGATCCAGACCACCCAAGTGAACCAAATGGAGGAGGAGATCTTATTTGGTTATCCAGAAGTGGATTCTTTGAAAATGGAAGTTGAGCGTTTCCTGTGTTTCGAGGTTTTTTCCAATCAGACTTTTCTTCAGACTTCTTGTTTTGGGAAGAACTTTTGGTGGGGTCATAGAAGTAAATGGATTTCAGGGGGCCCATTGTAAAATTTTCAGTCTTTTCATAAGTTATCACAGCATAAGGAAGACACTGTCGAGGTCGACGAGCAGGCATTCCATCATTGTCATATTCATAAAGGAAGATCTTTAAAAACAAGAGGGGAAAAAAAAAGATTAATAAAGAAAATAATGAAAAAACAAAGAATTAAATAATAAGATAAAATATGGTCCATGCAAGGTACAATGTGTAAATTGTCACCATTTTATATTTTTAATTTTGCACATATATGTTCTTTTTGATTTTGTCAACTGCACAGTATAGTTGGGTCAGTTGGGTACTGTCTGTGAGAAAAAGAGCACCATGATGCAATTTACTCTACCAGAAATTTGGAAAAAGCATGTTCTACTGCTTGGCATTTGTGCCAAAAGCTTCAATATGAACATTTCAGAATGTTTGAGTGTCGATCTGAGGACAGTGCAGATGATTCAGAAAGAGTTGGATGAGTCTAATGGTGATTACAAAAGTACAGCAGCTTGGAAAACTCCCTCTGTTCATTCTGATAAGAACCCCCAAATTCATTGGCGAGGGCCTCAGACAAAGACCTACATCAAGTGCCTTTGAGGAGGTAGTGCTACCCTGGACTGCAAGCCCCTGATTATTAATTTGTGGGGTGCAGTTGAGCGAGAGACCACCAAAACTTCTTGTAACACCAAAGATGAACTGAAGGCAAGGATTATGGCAGCATTCACCAATTTAAACAAGGAAACCATCCAGAAGAGTTGCAGGAGATTCCAAAGTCATCTAGAGGCCATGGTTGAAGCCAATGGCAATTTTATTGAATAAATTTACTCTTTAGTATTTCAAAATATTTTTGTGTAATTTTGGTAAATAAAGATATCTATTAGTCAGTGTCAGTGTTATTTTCATTTTTGCGCAATTTAGACAACAATTTATCCATCACACCCTGTATAATCAACTTTTTTTAATCATTTCACTCCAAACAAGGCAATAAAGCCACTAAAACATAAAGGGTTGCTGAGTGTTAGAGAATATGAGAAAAAAAACAAAAAAAAACACTATAAATAAGATAAAACAATAAAAGAACAAGAATTAAGATAATGATTGACATAACATTTAAATTTTTGACAACCAAAGTTGACTAGGAATCAAGAAGCCGGAAGAGAGTTCCACAAGTGAGAAGTGTGATATAATATTGTTTAATTAAATAATCAGGAAGCATTGAATATAAATGAGAAAATGCAGAGCAACATGTGTTGCAATGCATTTTATGTAGTGCAAATAAAGAAAGGGATTGTCAGTGGTCAGGAATGAAAGCAAGCATTACTGATAGAATAGGGCTATTATATGTATAATAGAAATGCATTGCTAATGATTTTACTATAAAAAATGCATTGAAAATGAGGAAGAAAGGGATTGTAAGTGGTCAGGAATGAAGGCAAGCATTACTGATAGAATAGGGCTATTATATGTATACTAGAAATGCATTGCTAATGATTTTACTATAGGAATACATTGAAAATGGGAAAGAAAGGGATTGTCAGTGGTCAGGAACGAAGGAAAGCATTACTGATAGAATAGGGCTATTATATGTATAATGGAAATGCATTGCTAATGATTTTATTATAGGAATGCATTGAAAATGAGGAAAAAATGGATTGTCATTGGTCAGGTAGGCATTACTGCACACTTGTAAGAGAAACAAAAAATAACAATCATACCAACCTGTGAGCGTTGTAATTGAACAACTTGAGAGTCACTGGGCTGGGCTGGTTGCAAGGGAACATGACAATCATAATTTGGGGTCGGTTCGGCATTGCTCATTACTCGTTCGTTTATTGCTTTGCACTTGCCTAACAGTGTCTGAAACAAATGTTTAGAAAATATTCAGTGTACAAATGAAAACATTCCATTTTTTTATAATCATTATCGTTCTTTGTGCAAACTTATTTGTTTTGTTTTTTTTCAAAAATTATTCTTCTAATTCAGGAAATTAAAAAAAAAATGTTCTAAGAAATGACTAAAGATCACATATATAACATGCACATAAAAACCAATATATTCGTAGGAATACAAGTGAATTATTTCTTTGAATTTTTATTTGTTCATCTTATTTCTCTTGCTTTTCCACCAAGTAGTGATAGTCTTAAGTTGTTTGAATTTCTTAGATGAAGCCTTCTCAATTATTATTCATTTTTCACTAGTATTTCTTTCATCTTATTTCTCTTGCTTTTCCACCAAGTAGTAATAGTCTTAAGTTTGAATTTCTTAGATGAAGTCTTGTCAATTTTTTTACTTGTATTTCTTCCATCTTCTTTCTATTGCAACTCAGACTGTCTTTTTACAATTATTAGTAAGCTACACAGATCAGAAATGAAGAATTTTACCAAAGCTGTATTATTTATTCTTGTTCCATGCTGCTCACTAATTAATACCAAATCAACTGAAAGTAACAATAAATGACAAAAGTGCTAATAAGAAACAAATCTTAATGCAAACCAGAGTCTGTATAATTAAAATTTCATTTTTGGATATTTATCTTAGCTGAAACATTAGGGTAGAAATAAGAAAGATGAAAACACTGAAAGGTCATAAAGTTCATTCCTTACCAAAATCTCCTGAAGACAACAAAAGCAGATAAACCCATTAACTTTTGTCTTTTAGGAACTGAACTTTGACTTCTGCGGCTTTCCTCTAGAACAGTGGTCCCCCTCATGTGCCAAAAATCAACCATAACGCCCCCCTCCTCTCCAATATATAGTCAGCCTCTGTTTGTATTTTCTTGATGCTAGTCATGCATATCAAATGAGTATCTAAACATTTTGCATAATATTCTTATATAAATGAGATATGCTGTAAAGGGAAGGCAAGATACACTTCAGCTACAATATGGGTAGGTGTGGTGCATGTTTTAGTTCAGATGTGCCAAACATGTGGCTGCAAACGTTTTTTTCTTCACTGCTCCCCCAGCTGGATCTTTCCACCACTCTCAGAGATTGGGGTCGCTACTGACCCTTTGGGAATCACTGCTCTTGAGCTTTCTCCATAAATACAATTCTACAATTTCTAAGATTAATCTTGTATAGGAAGACAATTTTAACATAAATAATGAAAGAAAGGGAAAAAAAAAATGAAAAATTATGTTTTAAGGAAAAAAAAAAAGAAAAAAATAAAGAAGAAAAAAAAAAGAAAAAAAAAAGAAAAAAATAAAGAAGAAAAAAAAAAGAAAAAAATAAAGAAAAAAAAAAAAAAAAAAAATAAAGAAGAAAAAAAAAAAAAAAAAATAAAGAAAAAAAAAAAAAAAAAATAAAAAGAAAAAAAAAAAAAATAAAGAAAAAAAAAAAAAAAAAAAAAAAAAAAAAAAAAAAGAAAAAAATAAAGAAGAAAAAAAAAAGAAAAAAATAAAGAAGAAAAAAAAAAGAAAAAAAATAGAAGAAAAAAAAAGGACATTTGTATTTAAAATCAGAAAACCTACTTTAGCTGTAAAGGTTGGAACTTGTAGAATTAAAAAAACGGTGCTCATTTGAACATTTGCTATGAAATTAGCAACCATGTAGCCATGTTTATTTACACTGTAATTCTTTTTTCGTGATTAAACACTGAAGCCTTAAACAGATTAAGCTCAGCAATAATCCTTGGGTCAAGGGTCATCATTTAAAGAAGATGGTGGTTTTCATAACAGTAGTTAGTTGTAATTATTATTCTTAGAGTAATAGTGTGACAATGAAATACTTACATTAAATACAAACAATGCAGTGACTGCCTGACTGGAAATCGTTTCAACCATTTTAAGTTGCACATCAGCATGCTTTGTCAGATAAACACCAGACTTATGTTCTCCTGTACAAATAAAAACAAATAGATTTCAATAAACTAAAATTCTAAATATTTGGTTTCTTTTTTTACTTTTTTTTATTTTTAACAATCTTTTTGTTATCACATTTCAGCCATTCATCCTTAATAAAGAAAATTTCACCAACTAATAAAAAAACAATTACAACCTTTTTTTAGGATTGCTTAATTTTTATAATAGATACCTACCAAAATATAGTGATTTAATAGAAGAATTTGTTGAATTCAAATGGAGTCAAAAGCAAAGCTTAGCATTTGAGGATTTAAAAAAAAAAAATACCCTCACCAAAAAACCTATTGTAAAAATTTTTGAGCCCAAAAAGGAAGTTGACATCTGAGCATGTGTTGTAAAACAAGATTGTACAACAATCCTACTTCATGTACGTGTTGATACAGATAACCTTCAGAGAATTTTCAACTGAACACTTTATGTAATCTATAGGGCAAATTGTTCTGTCTCCATGCCTAAGGATATCTCATCTAGTTCTTTATTTTAGAACTGCTCAGTTAGTCCTTTTCCCACTATGTACTATCCATCCCAGGGATTGAAATCACAATTACCATGCTAACAACATTATAATCCTTTAGGCCAATATCTCATGGGACAATCCTGAAGCTAGATTTTGGATCCTTAAATCTATTGTTGGCTTTGCTGTTCAACTTGTCTCCCTCCATTACTGTTTCTAAATATTAATGGCTCCTATATGTTATACGGTAAATGGTGGCAAAGAAAGCCAAGCCTCACAGCAAGCAGCAGCAGAGGAGGCAATAAAAAAAAATTAAGTTTAAGGCTCTAAATTCTAGCTTCACAGTAGCTTAGAGGATTGTTCTACTACCACAGTACAGAAGCGCTATTTTTTATTTTTTTTTCACTTTCCCTTTCTTTGGTACCCTTTTAATCACTATTATTGTGCACTTCCTGTTAGCATTTAGTTATCATCCGAATTGGCACAATAAAATATGGACTCAGAGCATGCAATTCCTAATTCTTATCCTCCTAATCTACCCCCAACAATAGTATTGCTGATACATAACTTTTTTAAAAAATTTGTTGCAAATTGGGCTAAATTTAAAAGCCCAGAGTAACTAAATTTTGAATTGACTTCTCCACCCACCCTTCATTCACAGCCCAAGTTAGCCCAGCTTGTTTTAAAACGTTACCCTAAGAAGTTACAATGACCAAATTAAATATTTGTTAGTGTTTGGTTTTTAAAAGTAGCCTGATCTAGCAACACTGTTTATAGTCAATATTACTAATAAAACTATGTATGAACATGAAGTGAGGGACCAATTTTATATAGCTGTTATAAACTGATCCCCCACTTTTTGATTAGCGTAGACGAAACATTTCAATAATCTGAAGAGAATGACTGTAAAATAATTATTTTTGATAACATATTCTGCTTTAAATTGTGAAATTACTAAATTGTGAATTGTCTTTTTTCTGTCATAAACCAAGTTAGCCCAGCTTATTTTAAAAAGTATCCCTAACAAAAAAAAAATTCACAAGTAGGGTTAAAAATTGGGCCACCTATGAAAGATCAACATTACTAAATTTTGAATGGACTTTTTATCTTATTCATAGCCCAACTTATTTTAAAATGTAGCCTATAAGTAATATAAATACAAAATTTAGTCCTGTTGAGTTTTCACAAAAGATCCTAATTTGACAATCCTGGCTTGTGATCAAAATTCAGATTAACAAGAGTGTCGGTGAATTGGTTGATCAATTTTAAATTCAACTAAATTATAAATTGATCCCCCATTTGTTGCTGAAATGTTGTACAAACAACAAAAGCAATCCAATGAGTTCAATAATCTGAATAAAACATGATGAAAACTTTATATTAAAAAAAATAAAAAATAAATAAAAAATAACCACTGGTACTCATGACCATTTTATAAGAAAATCTTTCAACATATGTAAAGCAAATTTTGAATCTATTGAATAATGATCATAAGAATGAATAGTCTTCCTTACCAATTATACTGAAAGGAAGATTTTTTGTCATCATTCCATTCTTAGCAATTTTGGTAACATAAGATGGCTCTTTGACCGCACAGAAAGCAATCTGGTCGATCAATTCTCGACTGTGACGGCCCTCTTCTTTCATATCAGTTCTTTTTGCCCTGGAATAAAATAAAATCTGTTAAGTTTTGGTAGAAAGGAAAAAAAAGACAAGCAGGCAGACATCAACCAACTATAAAGTGAAAACACTAAAAAATTATTTATGCAATAGTGACAACAATCACTTTCTAAGATATAATTAACTTTAATAGACATATTGTCATTGCAGGATAGCCTTTTTGTTGTGTTTGGACTTTTGTTTTAACTGCTTTACTAAATGAGTGAACTCTGTCCATAATAGATTACCTGATTTTGTGCCACCATTATCAGATGTTGTTCTTAGCGTTTTTCTTCATTTTAAATAGATGTTGTGTTAATGGCAGTAATGTTTTTCATTATTAAAAAAAATAAAGCTACATATTGGAAACACAAAAATCAGGGAAGTACAAAAATTTAAATATCTAGAAAGTATTTTAACAGAGGACAGAAAATGCAACACCAAAATCCAAAAGTTCATTGGAATAGAGAAAGATGCCTTTCAAAAGCTAAGCAAAGTATTAAGAAGCAGGGAAATCTAGTTGGAAACAATGAAAAGAGTACTAACTGTTACATAATATTGGTTGTCCTATATGGCAATGAATGCTAGACAATTTCCTTACAGAGGGAAAAGAGACTTAAGGCAACAGAAATCTGATTCTACAGAAGGATGGTGAGAATACAATGGGAAGAACATGTGAGCAATGACAAAGTCTTACAGAGAAATTGTTAACAAAGAAGACATACTTTGAATTAGAAAGAGAATTGAAATTTCTAGACCACATAATAAGGAAAGAGGCTTGGAAAATTTGACACTTACAGGACATATTGAAAGCAAGAGGAACAGAAGGACGTTGCACATAATCTATCTAATAAGCATGTGTAAATGGTTGGTAGAACAGAGATTAAGAAAGATAGCAAAAGTTTAAAGTTATGTATGCAATGTGTTAATAACATTGCAAATGGAATTAACTTAAACTACTGTATATACTTGTGAATAATTTGACTTCATGTAAAGTCTGATTTTTTTTAATAAATTTTAACCGCTCACCCCCAAAAAAATTTACCTGTGTATAGTGTAACTGAAAATGCATTATTTTTAACCTCCTCAAAAATAATTAACATGTATAGTGTAAACCTATATATTTTGCATAAAAAATACTGATCATAAAAACTTACATTATACGCTAGTATATAATGGTAGAATTCTTTATTGATAATCATTAAGTTTGCTTCATTTACTTTTACTTGCATATAATACAGAGGTTCTCAGTCCAATTAAGAAATGGTTTACTTACTCTTGTATAAGCTGACTCCATGTATAATGCAACCTCTGAATTTTTTTTTGCATGAATTTTAACGCCTCCAGAAAAATTTACCTGTGTATCATGCAACCAGTCATGGAAAATGCATGATTTTTAACCTCTTTGATGTAATGAAATAACCAGTCACCCCCATGAATGATTACACTATAGGTAGTAAGTACCTATAAAGTCAACCATCTACGAGAGACTCAAGGAAGAGTGAGAGAGAGAAGACGCAAGCACGTCTGACCTTCCAATTAGTGGCACTCACTACTAGATTGACCTGTGTGTATAACTGTACTGTATTTCATAATGTATGGCACCTTGCATTTATTGGAAATATTCATAGAAATATGAGTTAATTTTTTCTTATTCAGTTTATTAAACAGGTTGTTAATTTTTTTTTAAAAACGGAAAATAACTGAGTTGAAAATAATTCACTAAGAATGTACTAGACGATCCTAAGGAAAGAAGAAGGAAAGAAAAGAAAAAGGAAGGAAGGAAGAAAAAGAAAGAAAGAGAAATGTATGACGATGACCCAGTTGATGGTAGAGATAGGTCTGCGTGTGGTCGATTTTATTTTTTTTTAAAACAAAGGGAAGAATAGAATTGGAAATAATAAAAGAGAAAGAAAGGAAAAAAGACATGATATCGACCAGATGTCGGTCAGAGGCCTCTGACCGACTCTTATGGAAAAACCCTTATCAATTTGGAGTGAAGAGAAATTTTCTTTTTTTTTTCTTTTGAACAATAGAAACGAAATTTGTGATCTGAGAGAAAGTGTCTTTGGGTTGGGGAAGTGACTGGAAAAACGATATCGGAATTGACCTGTTAAGAATTGGACACCCACGTTAAGAAAGTAGAGATATTTCACCTAGATAATTAAGATTTTTGACTATCAGGTAAAAACAAAGAGGTAAGGAGAGGGGACGGTTGCTTTTGCTCACGGAGGCGCCAGGAAGGCGGAAAAAAGATCCTTTTTCTAAAGTCAAGACTAATTAGCAGCGGGCTGTTTGACAAAAGTCCAGGTGAAAGAAAGCTAAAAGATTGTCATTTTTGACGTGCGTGCAAAAAGGTGCGAAATCGGATTTTGTTTTTTTAAACAAGAACGATGTTCAAAACAAGGGGAGAGGATGTTCGGTCAATAACAATTGGTCGAATACAATCACGTGACCGCGAAGAAGAAGGGAAAGAAAACCTCGATCAATAACTGTTGGACAGGCGGTCACGTGGGCTGCGGAAAAGAAGAGAAAGAAAGGTTCGATCGGGAACGATTGGTTGAGAGCGATCACCTGACATGAGAGAGACTAAGAGAAATAGATGTCATGGCCCACCAAGAGCACTGTGAGAAAGTAGGGGTGAAAACAATAACGATAATGGAAAGTCAAAATTAATCTGACTTTTTTGAAATTATTGAGAAAACCCTGACGCCGACAGACCCACCCCAGTTTGTTGCGGCGTCCAATATAAGCAGGACCCCAGCCTATCGACAGAAATCAGTTTGAGTTGGAGATGCAGCCGGAGTTG